TTTGGGACCTTCTGGGATGATTCTACAGTGGGTGGGTTTGGAAAGTATGATGTGGGAAAGGAGCTGGAAGAACCGAGGGAGCAAAATCTATGCATGAGCAAAGGAGGAAATTCTCACCCTTCCAGTGACAAGAAGGCAGAAAGGCAGGCAGAGGTTGTGGTTAGGGAGTGGGACTGCAAGATCTCTGCTTGAAACCCAGGGTCTGCCACTGACTCTGTACAGCCTCAGTCAAGTCACTTGGACCTGATTGCCAGGGTCCAGTATTTGTGGTTAGGGCTTTCCAAGGGGCCACAAAATTGCAAATCCAGCCCTGAGTTCTGGAAAACCTGACCCTACACTTGCCTCTGTGGCTCGGTGTCCCCCTGGGGTCCTGCCCGTACTTTGGCATTCATTAGTACATGGTCAGTCCTTGAGTTCTGTAGGGTGGTGAGTAGCTCAAGGCAGCCCTGGTGGCTTTAGTTGCTCCCCCACTTCCACCCCAACTTGTCACTGGCAAAGTGCAGGGCATGCTTTTTCACCTTTGGGCTGGGTGCTTCCCGGAGCCAGGGTCAGTGGGGAGAGCTCTCTCCTTCCCACTGTAGGTCCCAGCAGGCTCTCACTGGGATGGCAGAGTTTGTCCCACCAGTTGTTCCCTTAGCCCATCCTGCTCCCTGAGATCGCTCCAAGATGGGTGGGTGGTTCTTCTTCCCAGTAGCACTCACTCGTTTCCCAGTTCCCCCACATTTTGCAGTGTTCTGTTTCTTAATGGACCACACACACGCACACATACGTACCAACTGGGCCACATGCCGATTCCAGTAATATATGACACTTGCTCAGCACCCAAGCCAATCACGTCCCTGCCCCACGTCACCGGCTCCTGGCTCTCTCCAACTCCTGCCTGCCAGTCCCTGCTGTCCGTCCGAGGCAGGGGAGTTGGGCCGCACTGCCTCAGAGAGATTGTGTCCCCTAGCTTGGGGGCTCCCCTTGTGCTCTTTCCTGGATGGGGCAGGGAGCCTCTAAGACCCACCACCGGGCTTCTACATCCTCCATGCAGCCAGCCCTGCTGGCTGCAGCTGTCTCCCCACCTGTGGAAGTCGCCCATTAGCTGCATCTCCTGAAGCTGACGTGCCCCATCTGACCGGGGCCCCTACTCCCAGCAAACTGCCCCTCCTTAACGTCCCCCGGTCCCAGGCAGGATGTATCTGTATGGGCTGGATGACTCAGAAGTGGTGAGTACAATCCAGCCTTGGCTTTGGCCCCCCTTGATCTGGACTGACCCTTTTTGGTGGCTGATAGATAGACTCAGGGGAGGGGCACACTGGTTAGTTGCCTGTCTCTAGGGGTGGGTACCTCCTCCTGCTCCCCCACCACCACCTCCAGCTGGGTTTGGCTGATGTTAGTCCCAGCTTGGAGAGGTCTGTCCAGGCACTTTTATTACAGCACACGGGCTCTGCTTGGAGTGGAGGGGGAGGTGGGGTGAGGAGGGTGCTTCAAAGGGGAGTGTCTTCGGAGGCTGGGGCTGAGGGGCCATGCTTCCCTCCCTGTGCTCTTGAGGAGGCTTCTTGAGTCCTGACTAGTTCTGGATGCTAGCGTAGGGTTGATTTCTCCCTGGCTGGGCAAGAGTTGGGAAAGGGGGTCTTATTACCCAGTTCCTTAGAGCAGTGCCCCATCCAGATTCCCAGTGGGTTGTGCACTCTGTGCTGGCAGGGGAAGGGGGTCTGGGCTCTCTGCCTTGCTCCCCCCTGCTCTATGCCCCCCTCAGTGAGAGATCCTTGCCCCGTCTCCCAAGGTGTATCTTCAGAGCTTATAGGATATAGTCTCTGTTATATATCAGTGTCCCTTGAGACCCACAGCTTTCTTCCCAGCCCTTTGTTCCCAGGAGCCCCATGAGGGGCAGGTCAGCCTCCCAGCTCTGTTAATCTTTGACTGCCTGCCTGAGGCCCTGCCTGGTGCTGGAGTCCAGCTTAACCAAGCTGGTGTCTCCCAAACAGGAGCAAATTCCAGCTGGGTGGCTCTTTCCTGGTCCCGCTCTTGGCTGGTCAGGTCTCATGCTACAAGGGGGTGACTTGGATTCTGCTGAAGGTTTGACAGCTCTGGGGATGGAGAGCGGGGAGAGATGCTCCCGATGGAGCTCTGAGAGTAGCACAGCATTGCAACCATCTTGTGCTGTTCCCCATCCCCAGTGACACTTGTTGGCTCCATAGGGTCACGAAGATGTTGGTGTCAGGGAGGGGAGATGCAGGACATTCTTCCCCTCTCTGTCCCAGCAAAAACAGCAGCAGAGATTTAGAACCCAAGTCTGTGATTAAAGGGGAAGACCCCTTCTGTTCCCACAGCCCCGTGGAGCTGACTGCCAGCTGGCCATGGGGCAACTCCAGCACAGCCAGCATGGGTAGATAAACATCCTGCCAGTGGGAATGCCAAGCTGAGCTTGAGAGTGAGCTGTCTGTGAGCACTGACATCTGGGAGCCTGGGCAGAGGCAGCTGGACTGATGGCGGAATGTTTCTCTGGGCTGGTGCCCCCCACTGGGAGGGGATGAGGGGGTGCCCTGTGCCCTACCTGCACATGGAGCCATGGGCTTCCTGCTGGTGCCATGAGCTGAGCTGGTCCATGAATAGAATGAGTTTGCTGGTCCTCATGTCCCATTAGGTCCAGAGTCCCAAGTCATCTGGGTTCAGAGCTGAAATACCTAGGGGAGGAGCATTGTCGGGTCAGGGGTGGGCAGGGGACAGTGCAGGACTGGTGGGATAGAGGAGTGTTTGAATACTGCAGAGACCTCTCTATACTGGGCCTCTCAGATTACACCCCCCTTTTCCTTTGATGCCCTTTCTTTTCTGATCAGGTTCTCTGAATGCCTCCCTTTGCCCCCTGCTCAGGCCCTGCCTGGGCTGTACCTGTGGGGCTGGGGCAGCCCCAGTCTGCCAGCCCTGCTACCCTCTGAGAATGCTCTGTGCTGGTGCCACACAGCCCTGGTGCCTCTGTTGACATCTGCTGCCCCCCATGGATTATTCACAGTACCTGCCAAGGCTAGGAAGACCCATCCTTTGTAGCCAGGGGCTGAATTCCGGCCTACCCCCACTCCCTGCCGCCTCCTCCCATCTCTGCCCCATGCACACCTGAGGGTGAGGTCCTGGAACCACCAGAACTCAGAGGCTTATCCCCACAAGGGCTGTGCACCTCTTCCTTGACCACAGTCCACCCCACAGACTCTTTAAATCTTCCCTCTGCCGGTTTCCTGGGTCATCCTGCTGCCTTGGGATCACCTGGTTTCATCATGCCTTGCTGCTCTGCCACCCACGCCACCTGGGAGCCGGGACTCCTGGGTTCTGTCTTTAGCTCTGGACAGGGAGTGGGATCTCGCAGGTGAGAGTGAGAGGAAAGTCTGGGATCAGGACAACTGTGTTTTACCTCCAGCTCTGGGAAGGGAGAGGAGTCTAGGTAGTAAAACCTGGGAGAGATAGAAGTGGGGAGAGAATAAGAGGACTCCTGGCTTGTGTTCCCAGCTCCAGCACAGTCCTTGTGTGGAGCTGTCCTGGCCTGTTGTGACTTGCTGTCCTGTCTCTGTACCCAGCTGCTTCACAGCCCCTTGAGGGGAGGCAGAGCAGTCTGGGTGCTTATCAGCTGAGCTGTGCGGGTGGGACCATACTGGGGGTGTGAGGCAGTGCAGAGATCTGACTCCCCCTCTCCTCCATCCCCCACACCCCACAATGGCTCAGAAATTCATTGACCAGTGTATGGCATTGCTCTTTTGGAGGCTGCGTTTGTGGTTCCCAAATTGCCTCAGACATAGCCTGCACAGACAGACTGACTGAGAGATACTGCATGGTGTTTGGGGAACTCATCCTCCAACCCAGCTGCAAGGGTCTAGAGGTGCCTCACTCCATCACCTCCTGGCCTGGGGGGCTGGGGGAAGCCTCTATCAAAGGCAAACTCCATCATTCAGCTCCAGGGGAAGGGAAGGGCAGGGACTCACCCTCCCCACCACTCCAGATGGGCCCTGGAATCTCCTCACCCATTCCCCCATCTCCTGAGGCACAGCCTATTCCCGTTCAGGAGAGAGCTTCATGTGTGTTTCCAGCCCCCACTTCCCCCATCCCTTTTCCTGCCCATGGTGGAATGTCTGTTTCAAGGTTCCCCCCCAGCCCCCACATCACAGCCCTACTTCTTCTGCCAGTGGCATTGCATTCACCAGGTTTAACAAGCCCCCCTGCCTCGGGGAGCCTGAGCCGGGACTGTCCTCCCCTGCCCGTGCTATCACGTTCCATCCCAGAGCTGTGGGAACAGCTGCGTCTGTCCCGGGGAACTGCTTTAACTCTCACAGCACCAGCCTGTCAGAACTGAAGGGGGAACTGAGGCACAGAGACAGACTCCAGGGCACCTGATGCCACACAGGGAGTCAGCAGCTGAGCTGGAAATAACCACCCCATCCCACTTCTTACCCGCTTCCCCCCACCAAAAAAACCCTAGTCTAGGAAAGAAGGGATGTACCTCTCTGTAGCAGCCTTTCTGTAACCACTACCCTAGACCTCACTCCCCTCACAAAGTTGGAGGAAAAGCCTGGAGTCTCATTAAGTCTCCCACTGCTACGGTGCCTGTAGGCATGGTGCCCCTGGGGCCTGAGCTGTGCCCTAGTTTCTCTGGCTCAGGCCACAGCAGTTCTGCTCCAGGGGCTGGGCAGGGAAGAAACTGCTGACTGGGGAAGGCAGGAGGCTGTCACAACAGCCCCAGGTGGATAGTTTCATTCCAGTGCTCCCAGAATCCATGGCAATGGTCTTGTTACAAACTGTAACTAGAGGTGGGCTGTAGATCACAGGGCATTTTGTCTTGGGAAGGGGGCAGTGGGACGTTGCTCCAGCTCCAGCCTCAGCCCTTGTCCTGTGGCATGGCCATGGATAGGGTTGTGCTCCTGCTGAGCTGTCTGGCCATAGGCCCATCCCCTGCCCTTCCTGGGGATGGGTGTGTGGGGAAGAGGGCTGCAAAGCACGCTGACTCCCCTGACCCTGGTCTGCTCCCCCAGGGCTCTGCAGAGTCCTACACCAGCCGCCCCTCAGACTCGGATGTGTCCCTGGAGGAGGATCGTGAGGCTCTGCACAAGGAGGCTGAGCGCCAGGCCCTGGCACAACTGGAGAAGGCCAAGGTAGGACCTGAGAAAGGGGGGTTGTGGCCGTGGCGGCTGCTCTGTGAAGCCTGGACTGGCTGGGGGTGGGTAGGAGCCTCTTCCTGTGCCCATGCCATGGGGCATTGGTATGGGAGCTGGGCACAGCACTTGCCCATGCCCAACTCCCCCTGGCCCGTCCGCCTAGAGAGTTGGGCCAGCTCATGGCACAGAAGTCACAAAGCCATTCAGCTCATGTAGGAAGGGCTTGTGCATTTAGACCCAAACGTTGCCCATTCTGTTGGAACCCAAGGGCATTGCATGCACCTTCCCATCCTCACACTCCCCCTGCAGCCATGTGTGACACCAACCCCATCCTCCAGCCAGATCCTCTGGACTGGCTTGGCTGGAGGCCTCGCTGGAAAATACAGCTTGTTCCTGGCCAGGTGGCTGGGTACAGGCCCTGGCTGGCACAACCTATATGCCTGTGCTGGGCCACTTCATCCACTTCTACCTGTGTCTGCAGCCTTTTCTCCACCAGCATGCACACAGCCCTGCTCTTGCCCTGCAGTCCCAACTCTCAGGTCCCAACCTGCCAGCCTCCTGTAAGAGTCGCTGCATTTCTGACATAGTCCAGCTGTGATGCTAGGATCCCCTGCTCTTGTCAGTTCCTGAGCCCCATTATAAACCCCAGCTGGGGCTGCCTTCACCCTTCCTGGCACAAATGTTCTAACCTGTCTGGTTGTTGCTGGCCCCAGGCCCAGCACCACCCATAAATCGCAGGAAATGGACAAGGTCCTACAATCAGTTAATTCATTTAGCTAATCTTGATGAAACGTCTCATCGACCCAGGCTGGGTCAGGGACAGAGCACCGGTGCCAGAAGACTGCGGGCTGGCACTGCCCCACCTGGCGGCATCCCAGCCCTTCCATTACACACCTTGGGGCCAGCCACCAACCAGAAAACACTGCGGAATGGGGGAGGTCCCTGCCCTGCCCTGTTCTGTCCATGTGTGCAGGAGGTATACTCTGAGTAGAGGAAAGAGGAGATGCACCTCTCTGTAGCAGCATGTGCAAAGGGGGGCTCTTGATACCAAGGCAAGGGTGATGCAGAGCCCCCCCCTAAAGCTTCTTCCAAGAGGCACTGGACCCTGGGGGTGGGTCCCTGTCCCGTAGAATGTTTTCATCCCCTGTGGCAGGGAGATGGGATGCATTGGCTAGAATCACTGTCTCCATTCTTAGATGTACCCCACCAACCAAGTCCCTGTCATCTCTTCCTGAGGCCCAGGCACTGTTGGGTGCAATGTGAGGATATGAAAGCTACCCCTATGGGAGTAGTGTGGGGTCCAGCAGTTACAGCAGGAAGGGGCTGGGTGCCAGGACTCCTGGGTTCTGTTCCCAGCTCTGTGTGGCCCGAGACATACCACCTGTTCCTTTGTGCCCCCCTGGATCCTAAGCTGAGGCTGAACGTGCAGCCAAGTAGAGCAGCCCTTGATGCCCCAACTCTGCCCCCACAACTCAGTCCACTAGCTGAGTTCCCCCTGCCATAATGTCCTCTGCTCCACATGGCTTGCCAAGCCACAGCAACAATCTACAGGAGGGAGGAAGCTGTCAGTTCTCAGGGAACGATCACTGCCTTGACTGCACAGACCCAA